TGTCATCTTTTGTTCTTAATTATATGCTAATTAGGGTAAAAGAAAGAGAGTTTGAATAAGAAAAGTAGAAAGAACAAAGAGAGAGAGAGGGTCGAACGAGGAAGAGAGAAAACGAAGAACAAAGCTTGGGGAAATTGCTTGCTTGATCACTAATCTTCGGTGGAGGTAGGTTATGGTTTTTATACTATTCGTAGTTAACTCTTAATAGCAAATGATATGTGTTGGGTTGTATTGTAAAGTCTTCTATATGCTAAATTGTATGCTTGCATGAATGTGATTATATAATTGTGATGAAGTAAGCATGATGAAGCTATTGAATCCCAAATCTTGAAAACCCCTTGTTAATGATGATGCCTTGGTATAAAAGAAGGCTTGATGAACTAAAGTATTGGGATTGATGATGCCTTGGTATAAAAGAAGGCTTGATGAATTAATAGAATTAGGGGATCGGGTGTCACGAACCGACACGTAGAATTAGGGGATCGGGTGTCACGAACCGACACGTAGAATTAGGGGATCGGGTGTCACGAACCAACACGTAGAATTAGGGGATCGGGTGTCACGAACCAACACGTAGAATTAGGGGATCGGGTGTCGCGAACCGACACGTAGAATTAGGGGATCGGGTGTCACGAACCAACACGTAGATTTAGGGGATCGGAGTGTCACGTTCCGACACATAGTAGTAGGGGATCGGAGTGTCACGTACCGACACAAGAGGAATAAAGATAATGAATCTTGAAAGATGTTAATATACTCAATCTAATGAACCTAATTCCCAAATGAGTATGGTATTGAGGCTTGAGTCCTCATGTGTGAACTTAGCGGTACTTGGTAATGATTATAGTGCTTGTTATTGCTACATGTAGAGTATTGTAGTTGATTTATGATATTACTTGATATATATTATTTTCTATTTGGAGTTGGCCGATGATACCTACTCAGTACTTGTGTTTGTACTGACCCCCTACTTTTATGTTTTCTTCTTTGTTATTTGTGGAGTGCAGCAAACGTGCCGTCGTCTTCAACTCAACCGTAATTCTAGCCAGTCTTCAATCACACCGGATTTCAGGGTGAGCTAATGCTTCTAGCTTCTCACCTACTCTTACTAGAGCTTTTTTCCTCATTTTGTAGTTAAAGCTTTCGAAGTTACAAATATACCAGTTAATTTAGCTACAGGAGAACATCAATTAAATAGTACTGGCGCCCTTACAATCAGCACTTCTTTGTTATTTCCTTAAGAAGGTTAGCTAACCATATTGTTACCTTCCTTTCCTTCAATCTGTCTTCTCAATATCTACAGCTATAGTTAGCTGCTTCAGCTCAGCTACTCTGACTAAAGTTATTTTCCTCATTTTGTAGTTGAAGCTTCTGAAGCTATAAACCTACCAGTTACTTCAACTAGAGGAGAAAGTATAGTTAATTGCTTATCTACCTTTGAAGTAGGTCAGTTCAGAAATATTACTTAAACTATTTTGACTATATTGATTTTTAGTAATTGGCTAACTGTGTCTAAATATTTTTATTCCTAATACTAGGATCAACGTCGAGTGCATCTTATGCTGCAAACAGATCAAGTTCAAGACGTACTTCAAATAGAGGTATGCTTCTCTCTACCATAGTAAAAAAAAACACTATATGCCTTTATGTAACAAATAATTGCTTTTTACAATGCACAGGTAGAAATAAGTTAGAAGTAAATCTACAAAATGATAACTTATTGCTAAAAGATTACTTACTTTTAAAGAAAATTCCAAATTGCAAATTTTGTGCAGCAAAAAGATTTCAATATGAATCACCAGGTTTTTGTTGTAATAATGGATCAATTAGGCTAACTTCTCATAACATGCCTATTGAGTTGCGAAATTTGTTCTTAGGTGACTCCAAAGAATCCCAACATTTTCTAACTTACAGTAGAGCCTACAATAATATGTTTGCATTTACTTCACTTGGAGTACATTATGATAGAGAATTAGCAAGGAGAAATCGTGGCATCTATACATTTAAAGTCCAAGGACAAATGTATCACTTCATTGATGATTTGATACCCTTAGGAGGAAAAGGAAAAAATTTACAATTATATTTCTATGATAATGAAAATGAGCTAACAAACCAAATGGCATTATCAGATAATCTTAATGAGATAATTGTTACAAAGCTCATAGATATACTAAAAGTTAATCCTTATTCTACTTTTTTAAGATCGCTAACAGCTCTTCCAAATTTATCTGAATTTTATATTGCTCTAAACTCAAGTTCCAATTTAGACCAGAGAACACATAACTTACCAGCTGCATCCGAAGTTGGGGCAATTTGGATTGAAGATCAATTAAATGATAAAATTTCCACACCACATATTAGAATTTACACTCATAGTAACAGAAGTCAATTGGTAAATTACTATTATGGATGTTATGATCCATTGCAATATCCACGGCTGGCATTGTGGTATTAAAAAAATAAAGAAATACAATTATTCCAACAGACAAATTTACTGTGAATATGAGCAGCTACCAAGTATAATGAACATCACTTCTATTGATGGAGTCCTTGACATGGAATCTAAAGTTTTATCAAAAGGATTGAGAAAAAGAGAAACTGTTTCCTGTCGTGAATATTATTGTTATAAAATTCAAATAAGAGATGAAGAACCAAATGAAACTTTACATTCTGGAAGGGTATTTCAACAATACATAGTTGACCAATATATAAAACTAGAGACACAAAGATTAGATTTTATCTTATTTAATCAAGATCTATTTAGAGTTGAAGCCTTCCAAGGAATCATTGATTTATTAAGGCAAGGAGAAAGAGATGCTTCTAATATTGGGAGACAAAAATTTCTTCCTGGTAGTTTCATTGGAGGTCCAAGAGATATGCGTCGAAGATATATGGATGCCATTGCTTTGGTACAACATTTTGGAAAACCCGACATATTTTTAACGATGACTTGCAATCCTTCTTGGCCTGAAATACAAGAACATTTACAACCAATGGAAGAAGTTCAAAATAGACCTGATTTAGTTAGTAGAGTATTCAGAGCAAAAGTAGAAGAAATTAAAACTGATATTCAAAAAAGAAACATATTTGGAAAGGTTGCAGCTTTTATGTATACAGTTGAGTTTCAAAAAAGGGGTCTTCCCCATGCCCATTTTCTCATTATTCTTATGGATGGATATAAATTGTTAACACCAGAAGCATATGATAAAATTGTATGTGCTGAACTACCTGATCCCCATATTGATCATGATCTATACAAACTTGTGACCAAACATATGATTCATGGTCCCTGTGGATATTTAAATCCTTCAAATTCATGCATGCAAAAAGAAGGAAAATGTAAATTCAAATATCCAAAACAACTTACTGAACAAACAACCAAAGGAAAGAATTCATATCCCCTTTACAAAAGACCAAAAATGATCACACCAATCAAAGTTAGAGGACACAACATTGATAATTCTTGGATTGTTCCGTACAATCCGTATTTACTGAAGAAATTTGGTTGTCATGTGAATGTTGAAATATGTTCTGACATTAAGGCTGTCAAATACATTTACAAATATATTTGCAAAGGACATGATAAAATTTCATTTTCTGTAAATAATAATGATACTAACATAGAAATAGATGAAATCAAAGAATACCAATCTGCTAGATGGGTTTCTCCACCGGAGGCTGCATGGCGTCTGCTTGCTTTTGCGATAAGTGAAATGACTCCAAGTGTTTGCCAGTTGCAATTGCATCTTGATGGACAACAATTTGTTTCTTTCAAAAATAACCAAACTGTGGATCAAATAATAAACAATCCAATGATTAAAAAAACAATGTTAACAGAATTCTTTCTTATGAACAAAATCAATAACGATGCTATAAATCTGAATTTACTGTATAAAGAGTTTCCTCAACACTTTGTATGGTCATCATTATACAAAATGTGGTCGCGTCGAAAACAACGACTTACTATCGGGCGTATTGTCACATGTCATCCAACCGAAGGAGAAAGATATTATCTTAGGTTGCTTCTAATGAATGTAAGAGGACCAACATCATACGAAGATCTTCGTACAATGAATGAAAGATGCTACACTACATTTAGAGAAGCTGCAGAAAAAAGAGGCTTATTACGTTCTGATAACAACTTAATTGATTGTATGTCTGAAGCAGTCAGCTATCAAATGCCTTATAGTTTAAGAAGACTATTTGCAACATTATTAGTTTATTGTAACCCTGGTAACCCAATAGATCTTTGGAAAAAATATGAAGACTCTATGTCAGAGGATTTTAAAACAATTCCAAATGTTACAAAAAATGATATTCAACTCTTAGTTTTAAATCATATCAATGAAGTTCTACTTTCAATGGGACATAACATAAATGAATTCAAAAATATATTTGGAAATCTTAGCTCTTCTAGAACAACTAATGAGGCAAAAGAAATTTATTTTGAAAGAAATATAATAGTGTCTGAAGAAGATATACTTCTACAAAGCAAATTAAATATTGAACAAAAAAGAACATATAACATAATTCTTGAAAGAGTATATTCTAATACATAGCCAAACCATTGGCTCAAATATAGCCAAAAGTGTAGCAAAATTTAGCTCGATACATAGCAACAATAGACAGAAATTCAATCAGAAGTGTAACAAATAGTTTAGTCTAAAATTCAGCAACAATATGATAAAAAATCAGCAACCCATCGTGTAAAATACATCAAAAAAATGGAGCACAAAAAGATTAAAATGCAACAATGACTCAACCTCAAAATGAGGTATCAAACCATAGCAGCCAACCTCATCAAAGGCAACAATTAATTGTCATCAAAGACAGACAGGGCTGACACATTATCTCTATTTTTTTCCATTCCTGTTTCAAGTAGTTCATGATTTATTAAACTAATTTACAATTTATCAATGACACTCTTAAATTTTATTAAATTTCAAATACTTGTAAATGTTTTGAACTGTTAATCAGTGTGATTTATAGTTTGATTTTGAATAATAAATGTGATAATCAGATGTAGACTGACCTTTTACAGTTTTTTTGTTGGTGTGGGTGGTTCAAATTTCGGAGTTGCATTTGAAGAACCAGCTGCAGTAGTTGTCTCTGTCACCTCCATCTCACTTATCTCCAAAGGTCTTATATTTTTGGAATTCCTATCAATAGCGGTTGGAGAAGTATGTTGCTTTTCCATGTAGGAAATAATGGAGTAAGTTGCTTGTGTATTGTTTGAGCTACCCCAAGATGACTTCCTTAGCTGAATTTGAAATAGTTTGTTGGACAACATCTCATGGACATGATTAACATGCAATGATTGCCTCTGTAAATGTAAAGAGTGAGAAGAAACTCTTTGTGACAATAGATGTGTTGGCTGGAATAAGAGATTACCTTAGCACAAGTTATGTCAAATATGTCTTCCGCTGTCATGGAGAGTAGTTTTTCTCCCAGTTCACCAGAGATAGATGTTGTGACTGTAGCAGTACCGTCAGTAAGATCAATTTGAAAGATACACCTGAAATCATGATAAGTTAAAAATATGAGTTTTGTTACTTTTCCTTTTTCTGACTTTTTGAGATTTGATTTAATGTGCTTTTTTCTTTTATTATTATAGGGACAATTTATGATTCATTGTTAATACATATCAATAATGTTTGTTGTTATGTGTGTGATCTATTAATTTTAGAGGTTGAAGGACAACCTTCTACCAAAAAGTGTTTTCGATTTTGGTACTTACATAGTTAAAGTATTACTTAATGTTTGTGTATATGTATAGGTCTTATATTATTTTTTCAAACATATAATTGTACTAAATGAAGATATCTTAAAGTAAAACTATTTAGAACTACTAAGCAACTAATGTAAAGTTAATTTGGTATAAACTTGTCACTATTTTCTGTTATAAATGATACACATCAGTGAACATTGCCATATATACGGGTTATCAGTAGCACATGATATGTATTCTTAAGTAGATATATCAATTGAACAAAGACGAAGGAGAAGGAGAAATACCGAGGAAGTAATGTTATTTTCCGATTACATTTTGGACAATGAAAATCCTTTCTATCTTTTGTGCGCTTCTTTTGTTTGCATCCTGAGCATTCAAGTACACAAAACTCTTGCAATTCATCTGATATGGCCATTTCTGCTTCAAGATAGAATAGTCCCATCTGTTGGGAAATATCATATACATAATACATGTTGAGTTACTGATGAATAAATAAAATTTATTTTTATTATTTAATAAATATGCAAACTCTTAAATTATCAGCTTGAAGTATGACTTACAGAAGTTGGTGATGAAATTTGTTCAATAGAGACAACTTGTTGGCCGGCAGGAGTCAATACCATGAGAGGGGCAGATGAGCTTGTTGAGGTTTTGTTCGACTCACGACTTAACAACATTGATTTGTTTTCTTTTGCCCTATTGTTACAACAAATAGTTGGTTTAATAGGTTCTTTAAATGCAAATTAAAGGTAGAGAATAGTGATGGAATGTTAGTACCATTTGGTGAGTTCTACTGCCTGTGGGTAATTAGGAGCTATGCGTATTGTTGAATTGTACCTACTTTGCAGTGACAACCCTGTACGACAGAAAGCTTGCATAACGTTTTGTTATTATATATAAATTCTGTTGGTAAAAAGTTCAATGCATGTACCTTGAAAAGTAGAGATTCCTATATTCCTGCCAAGGATTACAATAAGATCCATTTCTTTTTCCATTTTTGCTTCGATTTCATTTCCTTCAATTTCTCCAAAATCCTCCCATAGAGTGAGGAGAAATTGATTTTTGCTAAAGTACCATGATAACAACCAGATGATAAGTGATGGTACGATTAAGTAAACAATAAAAGTGTTTAATTATTCAAAATATTTTCGTTGAATGGGAATATATAAGGCAAAATGGGCTTACTGATTGTCACAAATGATAATTTCTCGACATTTATGATTACTGCGACCTGCGTATTTTTGAGGACTACAACGGAGAACGATTGCCAGTATATCTGTGTATATAATAAAGAATGAAATGTTGTAAGTGTGTGTATCAGTAAGCAGGTATATTTTACTGTTGTAAAAGTTAGTAAGGTGGATATACCGATTTCAACAGGAGAATCAAGCATCATGTGAGGAATGCGGTCAAAGATTGTGATATTCAGCTTTGTTGGTGGTGGAAGTGGATTCTCAACTCCATTAGATGGTGTGATATGTTCAATTACTGTTTCTTTGTCAAGAACCCAGTAAAATTTGTGTATCGGCTTGCCGTGTGAAGTTTGGGAGATTTTGACTCTTGCGGTAGAGATGAGATAGGTATTCATGAGTTTAAGCATTTCTGCATACTGTTCAATTTCATCTGCATACAGTACTGTCTTTATTTGGCATTCCTGAAAGTAAGAGTTGTAGAGATTTGAGGATAAGTTAAACTGTTTACTAAGAGTAAAATAAAACAAAAATTTTCATATGAGGTAAATATTAAAAAAGGAGAATATTCATGAGATTAAATGTAATGAGCTCACTTGTTCATCTTCCAAAATCAAATTTTGGAATCTACATTTCTTGTCAGGGCTTTCTCTCGGGCGTCCGATTTCCACAATTTGAACTTTGCAAATCCAATCTTGTGTTGTTAATGCTATTTGATCGATGTTCAATGTTAGTACCATGTTTGTTAGAAATGTTTAACCAAGCAGTAGTATCTGCAAGATAGCATCACTATTGAGTGAAAGTCCTTTCTTTTATGTGGTTGCATGAACATGAACAATTGAATTAGGAAGAACATGCAAGAACATATTGTCCTCCACATACTGAAAGTACATAATTTGTAATGAAAGTACAATAGGAATATTTGTAATGAAATTCAGAACATGCAAGAACATAATTATCCCCTACTCAGTCAAACATTAGAAAATATAATTTCCTCAAATCTGTCTGCTAGTAATAAAATTGAAATTTTAATTGAAAATAACAAGTTTAATTTGTCCCATATTGATTTTCTCCTTTGATGACAACTAAAATCTGCAAGAAAAATTGAAAATGGGAAGAGGGAAAACATGAAAAGGGGAAAAATACCTTAGAAAGAGAGCAATATTTTTTTCTTCAGGAAAGGATGACAAGTTTGTGCTTTAATGTAATGATGTTGATGAATAATGTGTAATAATGTGTATATATATATATATAATATATATTATCTATATATAAAAATATATACAATACAAAGTAGACACGTTATACTATATAAAAGTACAGGTGTCTTCTTTAAAATTGATAGATTTGGCAGCCAATGAAATTCTGCCAAAAAAGAGAAAAAGTTATTGCATGTAATAGTAAAATTTAATGATGTGTGTCAGAAAAGAAGTTATTACATATGAAATTTATTTTGTTATTATTAGATATATAAATTTGGAAATTGATAAATATGGAGTACAAAATAAAAATGGCAGAAATCACTTATCTTTGTTCAAGTATATGTATTGTGTATTTATCTTGAGTGATTGCTATGAAGTTGCCTTTTAGGATTTTTTGAGAATTTATTTGAGAATTAACAGTTATTGTAACTATATAAAAATAAACTGAAAACCACTATATTATTTTTGAGGTAATAAAATGGTTGTGTAGCAAGTTTAAACTCCTGTCCAAGTTTAATTTTACAGTTGGTATGTATATATACATAAAGCTTTCACGTCTATAAAAATCAATAAATTACTACTTGAGATAATAGATACTTTCTTACCTGGACATAACAAAATTAGTAAGACTTATTCTTTAAATTAGAAAGGACCACACAATTTGGTAGTGAACCAAGTCAGATATACTTGGTGATTGACATGTTTAAATTTGTCCAATGTTCTACTGTAGTTGTGACTGCATTCTTCAACAGTATGAGGTCTAAGTGTTGAAGCGAAAGGAAACCAAGAGAAAAGTAAAAATAGTTTTATATTCATTTAAGTACATAGCATGCAAATTCCCTGGAAACTAACTCACAAGCTAACTCACTGTGAACTCTGTAATCTGAATAGAGCAGTTGCATATACATGTGAGAAAGAGATGAGTTATTTCTTCTATCAAATAACATTGATGATATTTCAATCTTGGATCATGATAGAACCAAATATTCATTCATGTTGAAGTAGTAATAATTTATAGTTTATGTGCAATAGTTGCCTTATAAGGATTTTTTATTATTATAATAAGTGCATAAGATCTTACCATGAATCAAACATATAAATATAAAAAATACATATCAATTAATGTAATATAAAATTTACTCTCTGTCATAGAGCAATAATAATGAACATAATTCGTGAACGAATATATTCATTTTGGACCTATATCCCAACCTTAATGAAGAAGTGAAGATCACAACATTTTAAGAAGTTAGACATGTTTCATTTGGTAAAACATGAATTATCAAATGATGAGAACTATTGTGGCTATGAAGGAACTTACTATTTCAAGACTAAGCTCCATCGTTGTTGGGCGTAAATAGTGTGAAGTTCTGAGTATGGGCAAACAGATAATGTAACATGTGGAATTGATTTTGAGAAAAGACAGATTCCTGCAAAAATCAAGTAAAATCATTATGCAGTCAAAATCTCAATGGTTAATCAATCATTAAGTGCTAACTCATTAGAAGGAAAAGGAGGATGGTTTCCAAATCGCATAAAAACATGTACAAGTTCTCTTTATTTTTAGTAAAAACATGTGCAAGTTCAGGAAACCAATTCCAAAAATAGAGGAAGTTACAATAGAAATTGAATAATTACAGCATAGTAAAGCAAACAAAACATTCATATAAAGTGGTTACCTCGTTTTTAGCAGCAACATCTTTGTCACCACCTTGAATTGGCTTCAATGCAAGTTGAAGGTAGTCCTGCGGAGTTATTTTGCGGTTGTCCTCAACCCAATCCAAATAAAAATCCTTTTGCAGAAAAGAAAAATGTATTTTAATAGTTTCACAAACAAGAACAGAAGAAAATCTACAGTGATAATAAACAAATTGTCAATTACTCTAGGAAACCAAATGAAGACTGGGGAGAACTGGCCAAGCTTAGAAGCACTGGCCTTTCTTCCAGAGGCTTTAACACGAATATGCCTAGTCATTTCAGTGACAAGAGAGAGGCAGTCAAGCGCAACTTCATCGATACCTCCCATCTAAATTACAGGATTAAAGAGATTATCAGGACAACTAACAAATAAACTGACTGTAGCAACAAGGAAATTCACTGAATCCTGAGGGAGAAGGGTTGAAAATCGCATATCAAAAGAAGCAAACGAAATCCAAGTTTCACTGCTCCTAACCTGGTTATATACAAACATACTTGAGAGAAGGACTGGCAGGGAGAATATCTGTGTGCTATATATACCCTGTGAAAAAGCTAAACAAAACAGAAATTTTTTGAAACAACAATAAAACAAAAATTTATAAAAGGTAAAAGTCAGTGACAGGAAGGATAGAAAGGACAGAGGAAAAAACAACGCATGTTCTAGAGTTATAGTGCTAGTTCCTTTAGTTTGTGAAAAGTTTAGCTATACAAAGGTATGACAATGTAATATAAAGACATATAGCATGTTCTAGGTTATTATCCTCCTTCAGAAAACCAATAATGTTAAAAGGGTGGAAACTAACCGTTTGATCATAAGCATCAATTCCTTATGTGTCCAGCAGTAATAAGTTGTATTCTATTCCATCAAGAGTTGTTCTCCTTAAAGGTGAACTCCACAGCCAAATACCTTTTGTGCATGCCGATGAGTTGCAGCCACTTCAAAACCGCTACTCCTGCGAAGAAGCTATTGGGCATACAACAGGCTCTCAGCTACATATTTTCGGTAAAGTAAGAAGTGACACTAAGTTACACATGATAATTTACATGGGAAAGTATACAACTATAATTTAATAATAATAAAGATAATTGTGATGTCGTTGCAATAGACCTAGTTAATTACATAAATCAATGGAGTTTGTAGAAGAACAATAGCCACTGTACTATAGCTTTGACTCATAATTGATTACAATCAGCACTTCTTTGTTATTTCCTCAAGAAGGTTAGCTAACCATATTGTTACCTTCCTTTCCTTCAATCTGTCTTCTCAATATCTACAGCTATAGTTAGCTGCTTCAGCTCAGCTACTCTTCCTAAAGTTATTTTCCTCATTCTGTAGTTGAAGCTTCTGAAGATATAAACCTACCAGTTACTTCAACTAGAGGAGAAAGTATAGTTAATTGCTTATCTACCTTTGAAGTAGGTCAGTTCAGAAATATTACTTAAACTATTTTGACTATATTGATTTTTAGTAATTGGCTAACTGTGTCTAAATATTTTTATTCCTAATACTAGGATCAACGTCGAGTGCATCTTATGCTGCAAACAGATCAAGTTCAAGACGTACTTCAAATAGAGGTATGCTTCTCTCTACCATAGTAAAAAAAAAAACACTATATGCCTTTATGTAACAAATAATTGCTTTTTACAATGCACTGGTAGAAATAAGTTAGAAGTAAATCTACAAAATGATAATTTATTGCTAAAAGATTACTTACTTTTAAAGAAAATTACAAATTGCAAATTTTGTGCAGCAAAAAGATTTCAATATGAATCACCAGGTTTTTGTTGTAATAATGGATCAATTAGGCTAACTTCTCATAACATGCCTATTGAGTTGCGAAATTTGTTCTTAGGTGACTCCAAAGAATCCCAACATTTTCGAACTTACAGTAGAGCCTACAATAATATGTTTGCATTCACTTCACTTGGAGTACATTATGATAGAGAATTAGCAAGGAGAAATCGTGGCATCTATACATTTAAAGTCCAAGGACAAATGTATCACTTCATTGATGATTTGATACCCTCAGGAGGAAAAGGAAAAAATTTACAATTATATTTCTATGATAATGAAAATGAGCCAACAAACCGAATGGCATTATCAGATAATCTTAATGAGATAATTGTTACAAAGCTCATAGATATACTAAAAGTTAATCCTTATTCTACTTTTTTAAGATCGCTAACAGCTCTTCCAAATTTATGTGAATTTTATATTGCTCTAAACTCAAGTTCCAATTTAGACCAGAGAACACATAACTTACCAGCTGCATCCAAAGTTGGGGCAATTTGGATTGAAGATCAATTAAATGATAAAATTTCCACACCACATATTAGAATTTACACTCATAGTAACAGAAGTCAATTGGTAAATTACTATTATGGATGTTATGATCCATTGCAATATCCACTGTTGTTTCCTTATGGTCAAAATGGCTGGCATTATGGTATTAAAAAAATAAAGAAATACAATTATTCCAACAGACAAATTTACTGTGAATATGAGCAGCTACCAAGTATAATGAACATCACTTCTATTGATGGAGTCCTTGACATGGAATCTAAAGTTTTATCAAAAGGATTGAGAAAAAGAGAAACTGTTTCCTGTCGTGAATATTATTGTTATAAAATTCAAATAAGAGATGAAGAACCAAATGAAACTTTACATTCTGGAAGGGTATTTCAACAATACATAGTTGACCAATATATAAAACTAGAGACACAAAGATTAGATTTTATCTTATTTAATCAAGATCTATTTAGAGTTGAAGCCTTCCAAGGAATCATTGATTTATTAAGGCAAGGAGAAAGAGATGCTTCTAATATTGGGAGACAAAAATTTCTTCCTGGTAGTTTCATTGGAGGTCCAAGAGATATGCGTCGAAGATATATGGATGTCATTGCTTTGGTACAACATTTTGGAAAACCCGACATATTTTTAACGATGACTTGCAATCCTTCTTGGCCTGAAATACAAGAACATTTACAACCAATGGAAGAAGTTCAAAATAGACCTGATTTAGTTAGTAGAGTATTCAGAGCAAAAGTAGAAGAAATTAAAACTGATATTCAAAAAAGAAACATATTTGGAAAGGTTGCAGCTTTTATGTATACAGTTGAGTTTCAAAAAAGGGGTCTTCCCCATGCCCATTTTCTCATTATTCTTATGGATGGATATAAATTGTTAACACCAGAAGCATATGATAAAATTGTATGTGCTGAACTACCTGATCCCCATATTGATCATGATCTATACAAACTTGTGACCAAACATATGATTCATGGTCCCTGTGGATATTTAAATCCTTCAAATTCATGCATGCAAAAAGAAGGAAAATGTAAATTCAAATATCCAAAACAACTTACTGAACAAACAACCAAAGGAAAGAATTCATATCCCCTTTACAAAAGACCAAAAATGATCACACCAATCAAAGTTAGAGGACACAACATTGATAATTCTTGGATTGTTCCGTACAATCCGTATTTACTGAAGAAATTTGGTTGTCATGTGAATGTTGAAATATGTTCTGACATTAAGGCTGTCAAATACATTTACAAATATATTTGCAAAGGACATGATAAAATTTCATTTTCTGTAAATAATAATGATACTAACATAGAAATAGATGAAATCAAAGAATACCAATCTGCTAGATGGGTTTCTCCACCGGAGGCTGCATGGCGTCTGCTTGCTTTTGCGATAAGTGAAATGACTCCAAGTGTTTGCCAGTTGCAATTGCATCTTGATGGACAACAATTTGTTTCTTTCAAAAATAACCAAACTGTGGATCAAATAATAAACAATCCAATGATTAAAAAAACAATGTTAACAGAATTCTTTCTTATGAACAAAATCAATAACGATGCTATAAATCTGAATTTACTGTATAAAGAGTTTCCTCAACACTTTGTATGGTCATCATTATACAAAATGTGGTCGCGTCGAAAACAACGACTTACTATCGGGCGTATTGTCACATGTCATCCAACCGAAGGAGAAAGATATTATCTTAGGTTGCTTCTAATGAATGTAAGAGGACCAACATCATACGAAGATCTTCGTACAATGAATGAAAGATGCTACACTACATTTAGAGAAGCTGCAGAAAAAAGAGGCTTATTACGTTCTGATAACAACTTAATTGATTGTATGTCTGAAGCAGTCAGCTATCAAATGCCTTATAGTTTAAGAAGACTATTTGCAACATTATTAGTTTATTGTAACCCTGGTAACCCAATAGATCTTTGGAAAAAATATGAAGACTCTATGTCAGAGGATTTTAAAACAATTCCAAATGTTACAAAAAATGATATTCAACTCTTAGTTTTAAATCATATCAATGAAGTTCTACTTTCAATGGGACATAACATAAATGAATTCAAAAATATATTTGGAAATCTTAGCTCTTCTAGAACAACTAATGAGGCAAAAGAAATTTATTTTGAAAGAAATATAATAGTGTCTGAAGAAGATATACTTCTACAAAGCAAATTAAATATTGAACAAAAAAGAACATATAACATAATTCTTGAAAGAGTATATTCTAATACATAGCCAAACCATTGGCTCAAATATAGCCAAAAGTGTAGCAAAATTTAGCTCGATACATAGCAACAATAGACAGAAATTCAATCAGAAGTGTAACAAATAGTTTAGTCTAAAATTCAGCAACAATATGATAAAAAATCAGCAACCCATCGTGTAAAATACATCAAAAAAATGGAGCACAAAAAGATTAAAATGCAACAATGACTCAACCTCAAAATGAGGTATCAAACCATAGCAGCCAACCTCATCAAAGGCAACAATTAATTGTCATCAAAGACAGACAGGGCTGACACATTATCTCTATTTTTTTCCATTCCTGTTTCAAGTAGTTCATGATTTATTAAACTAATTTACAATTTATCAATGACACTCTTAAATTTTATTAAATTTCAAATACTTGTAAATGTTTTGAACTGTTAATCAGTGTGATTTATAGTTTGATTTTGAATAATAAATGTGATAATCAGATGTAGACTGACCTTTTACAGTTTTTTTGTTGGTGTGGGTGGTTCAAATTTCGGAGTTGCATTTGAAGAACCAGCTGCAGTAGTTGTCTCTGTCACCTCCATCTCACTTATCTCCAAAGGTCTTATCTTTTTGGAATTCCTATCAATAGCGGTTGGAGAAGTATGTTGCTTTTCCATGTAGGAAATAATGGAGTAAGTTGCTTGTGTATTGTTTGAGCTACCCCAAGATGACTTCCTTAGCTGAATTTGAAATAGTTTGTTGGACAACATCTCATGGACATGATTAACATGCAATGATTGCCTCTGTAAATGTAAAGAGTGAGAAGAAACTCTTTGTGACAATAGATGTGTTGGCTGGAATAAGAGATTACCTTAGCACAAGTTATGTCAAATATGTCTTCCGCTGTCATGGAGAGTAGTTTTTCTCCCAGTTCACCAGAGATAGATGTTGTGACTGTAGCAGTACCGTCAGTAAGATCAATTTGAAAGATACACCTGAAATCATGATAAGTTAAAAATATGAGTTTTGTTACTTTTCCTTTTTCTGACTTTTTGAGATTTGATTTAATGTGATTTTTTCTTTTATTATTATAGGGACAATTTATGATTCATTGTTAATACATATCAATAATGTTTGTTGTTATGTGTGTGATCTATAATTTTAGAGGTTGAAGGACAGCCTTCTACCAAAAAGTGTTTTCGATTTTGGTACTTACATAGTTAAAGTATTACTTAATGTTTGTGTATATGTATAGGTCTTATATTATTTTTTCAAACATATAATTGTACTAAATGAAGATATCTTAAAGTAAAACTATTTAGAACTACTAAGCAACTAATGTAAAGTTAATTTGGTATAAACTTGTCACTATTTTCTGTTATAAATGATACACATCAGTGAACATTGCCATATATACGGGTTATCAGTAGCACATAATATGTATTCTTAAGTAGATATATCAATTGAACAAAGACTAAGGAGAAGGAGAAATACCGAGGAAGTAATGTTGTTTTCCGATTACATTTTGGACAATGAAAATCCTTTCTATCTTTTGTGCGCTTCTTTTGTTTTGAAAGAAATATAATAGTGTCTGAAGAAGATATACTTCTACAAAGCAAATTAAATATTGAACAAAAAAGAACATATAACATAATTCTTGAAAGAGTATATTCTAATAAATCAGGAGCTTTTTTCATTGATGGTCCTGGGGGAACTGGAAAAACATTTTTATATCGGGCTTTGATGGCTGCTGTAAGAACAAAAGGATTCATAGCTTTGGCAACTGCAAGTTCTGGTGTGGCAGCTTCAATACTTCCGGGAGGACGAACAGCTCATTCACGTTTCAAAATTCATGTTGACATCGATGACAATTTCACTTGCAATATTAGTAAACAAAGTTCGTTAGCGATTCTAATTCGAGATTCAAAACTAATTGTTTGGGATGAAGTCTCAATGGCAAAAAAAAACATGATTAAGCTCTTGATACACTTCTAAAAGATCTTATGAATACAAAAGCACTGTTTGGTGGAAAAGTAGTAGTTTTGGGGGGAGACTTTAGACAAACACTTCCTGTTGTTCGTAGTGGAAAAAAAGAAGACTTTATAAATCAAAGTTTATTATACTCCCGTATTTGGAATCATCTTGAAAAATTGTGCTTATCTGAAAACATGCGTGCGAAAAAAGATCCAGCATTTTGTGCATATTTAATGAGAATTGGAAATGGAGAAGAAAAAACTAACAATTGCAACAAAATTGAAATTCCCAATAATTTTATCATTCCCTTTACAGATGAAATAAAATCTTTAAATATTTTATTTAATGTTACTTATCCTAATTTGCATACATTCTATTGTAATCCATCTTTTATGACTTCCCGTATTATTTTGACAACAAAAAAATGATTTTGTTGATGAAATAAATGATATGCTTATACATCGATTTCCCGATGATGCTACAGTATATACGGCTATTGATGAAACTATAGAACCAAATGATCAATGCCAATTTGAAGATTTTTTGCATACCTTACATCCTGCTAACTTACCACCTTATAGATTAACTTTGAAAAAAAATTGTCCAGTTATATTATTAAGAAACTTAAATCCTACTGAAGGTTTATGCAATGGTACACGATTGATATGTCATGATTTTAAGTCAAATGTTATTAGTGCTACTATTTGCAGTGGTGATTTTAAAGATAAACATGTCTTTATTCCAAAGATACCATTACTAGCATCACAAGACGAGAAACTTCCAGTTCCCTTCAAAAGAATACAATTTCCGATAAGATTATGTTTTGCTATGACTATAAACAAAGCTCAAGGTCAAACATTAGATTTTGTTGGAATATATTTGCGTGAGCCAGTTTTTTCACATGGACAACTTTATGTTGCTTTATCTCAAGCAAAATGTTCAGACAATGTAAAAATATTAATACGTCCACCAACTGCACAGGACACGAATGGTCATTCTACATATAATGTAGTTTATGACGAAATCATTCGAAAAGCATTGTCATGATACTTTTAAAAGTAATAAGTGTAACAAGTAAGCATCCTTATGCTAGATGTTGTGAAATTTTGGATTCCTTTACTTTATTTGTTTTTAAAGCTAAGTACAAGTTACACTGCAATCATATCACTTCAACATTTGAAGTTTTAAATTTCATCTTTCAATTCAAATTGTTCCTGTCCAATTACTCAAATTTGAAATTGTTGATTTTCACTAACCTAAATGCTAACATTGCAGCAACAACTTTCCCTATAAGGGTAACTAGTTTTATAGTTCTAGCTGAAGGAAATGACAGAGAAGAACTACCTCTTAATGCTTCTTTCTTATTTCAGATTATACAAGTGCAAATAAGTGATGGTGAGGTAATCAAAATTTCCAGTCATTACGTTAAACCAACTAATGCTCTTGACTTTTTTCACTGTTCAGTCAATTTTCTTGCTTATCTTCTCTGTTTGTTTATTATTTAACTTCTCGCACCTCATTTTGATGTTGAATATCTATTCAATTTTAGCCTTTCGCTGATTCTTTTTTTGTGTTGTATTTTGAGCCGCTGTTTCTTCTGTTTTTTTCACCAGATTTTACTCAATGGTTGCTATATGTTTCTTCTTCAGTGTTCCAACATTTAACATATATGTTTTGCTGAGTTTATTTGGGCTTTTGTTCTTCGCTCTTTTGGATTATTTTTATTTAATGATGTTGTTAGTGTACTATATAAGCTTGAAAAATCTGCGTTGTCAGCTTCTCCTTCTTCTCTTGCTTCTGCTATGATTTTTCCTCATTTTAGTATGTTTGATGCTATTTTTTAAAAATATTCAACTGTTTTAACATCTTTTTATGACGCTGAGAAAGGCAAAAGAAGTATTATACGTTATTTCTTCACTTTTGTGTAGGTCGCTGGATCTATTTTCTTAGCAATTTGCTGATAACATTTTACAGTTTACACTTTAGGTTTACGTTTTACTTCAACATACCCCCTCATTTTATCTTACGTTTTTAAGCTTATGATTTTCATAGTTGATTCCTTTATATAACATATAACTAAGATTTAAAACTGTTTAAGTGAAATATTTCTGCAGCCAGTTCATTTGACGTTTTCCATAGGACGATTCAAAATTGGATAAAGCTTAAGTTTGATTAGGATTACAATTATTAAATTACAATGAAAATAAGTTGGTGAATAATTTTTTTGAAAAAATTCATTCCTAATTGTCATGACATTCTATAGTATAATGCAAAAGTATGTACCTTACTATTGTTAGTTCCTACATTGCATCACTCTGTTATATTTTCCATCTTGGTGAAGTATTAGATTGGGTATAATACTACATTACTACTTAATTATACAGTATATTTGTCGTCTTTCATATTATCTTTGAGACGGTTCGCCTCTTCATTCCTCATGTAACTAATAAGTTCTCAGAAGGTTAAATTCTTTTTCTAATGTTTTAATTGATTTCAATAATCACTCCAAAATGGTGAAAAATTTTCAAGCAGAACATTAGCTTGAAATTGTAACGACCTGTTTAGTCGTTTTGAGCAGCAAATTTTATTTCTGAAAAAACAGGCTGAGACGACGGAACCCACGACGGACCGTCGAGGGTATCTCGTTCCAAAATACTTAGAATTCTGAAAATTAGATACTGAAATCGACTCTCTGAACTTCATAACGGAATGGCAGGACGGACCGTCACAGGTGTGACGGACCGTCACAGACTCTTCAGAGAAATTGAGTTCTGAACTCAGTGACGGAGCAGCAGGACGGACCGTCGCAGGCGCGACGGGCCATCACAGGCTGCGTAATCCCAGGCTGGGTCGGATTTCTGTAATTATTTTAAGGGGCGTTTTGGACTATTCCTGCTTTAATTATAAAGTTAGTGGGTTAATTTTAATAAGTCTAATTACTTGGGGGTTAAAAGAGGTAACCTTTTAAGTTAATTAGTGGGTTATTATTGTCATCTTTTGTTCTTAATTATATGCTAATTAGGGTAAAAGAAAGAGAGTTTGAATAAGAAAAGTAGAAAGAACAAAGAGAGAGAGAGGGTCGAACGAGGAAGAGAGAAAACGAAGAACAAAGCTTGGGGAAATTGCTTGCTTGATCACTAATCTTCGGTGGAGGTAGGTTATGGTTTTTATACTATTCGTAGTTAACTCTTAATAGCGAATGATATGTGTTGGGTTGTATTGTAAAGTCTTCTATATGCTAAATTTTATGCTTGCATGAATGTGATTATATAATTGTGATGAAGTAAGCATGATGAAGCTATTGAATCCCAAATCTTGAAAACCCCTTGTTAATGATGATGCCTTGGTATAAAAGAAGGCTTGATGAACTAAAGTATTGGGATTGATGATGCCTTGGTATAAAAGAAGGCTTGATGAATTAATAGAATTAGGGGCTCACAACTGCAATAGGTCGTTCAAAACGTTTGACAAGTCCATTTGCTCTGAGTCCATTGTGGTAAGGTATAACATCAACAAAGGTTGTTCATAAGTTTGTGCATCAGACTCTAGTTCAACTTCTTCTATGAGTATGTTCCAAGATTTGAATTCATAGTGTATCACTACAATGTTAATCAAAGTCATTTGCTGAGAAAAGATCATCATTAAGACAGTCATATTGGCCACAATTAAGGAAATATATAGAAAAACTACTATGAAGTCATCAAGTAAGCATTAAGCTTGGTGTTGTAGTACTACTATGAAGTTCCTTTGCTTTTCTCCTTCTATAGAGAAGCTATATATAAGCCTAATGTTGATGCTTAAAGAGTTCCCTTTTTTAGGTAAAATGGTGTTCTCTTCCGTTTTTAAGTAGAGCAGACATCTCAGTACACAACTCATAAAAATCTTATGAATGGATAAGGATTCATTTAGTGAGAACTTGAATCCCTCCCTATCTTTTTTTTTTTTACTCAAAGGCATCATGATACATAATTCTACCAAGTAGTTAAACTCCCTCGCAGATTTTTTGACCGAACTGCTTGAAATATAGTGTCACTCATGCCATGCACAATTCCTTTCTCCAGTCAGTTTGACATATCATAAAGCTCTAAGATGATACCAAACCATTACAAATCATATCTATGACTTAAAAAGTATAAGAAAATAATTAAATTTTAAAAAAAAATTGATATAATAGAAATCACACCTGAAGTTCAAGCTCAAAAAAAGTAAGTTCTGTCACTTTATATTGAGGAAAATGTCTAACGTTGTAAGGTACAAAATGTAATTAAAAAAAGTACCTGATTGCGAAAGAAAACATTCGCAGCTCACGCTTAAGTGATTCACTTTATCTATTTAAGTGTCGACACAGTAATATAAAATTAAGTTCAACTTTTTATCCTAATATTTTTAGTAATGAAAAAGAGCACTCACAATTATAAGCACTTTTCAAATTTTCTATATGTTAGTCCGACTGCTACCGTTAGTATTTTTTTCACTTCTATTTGTTGTTGCAGTTAAAATTATTTTATACACATCTGGTAACTCACCTGCAGATTGTATTATGGCATCATGTGAGATGCTCCTGCTTTAATTGGCTCCTTGTGGATTGTTCGTGTAGGGAAAACCGCACTCGCCGACAGAGCAATGCTTTAGTCCCCTCAAACAACTCTATAGCCAACAACCACCACATTAGCTCTTTAGTTTGTCACTTCTTTGCAGAATGCTGCACCTTGACAACAAAAGAGGAGCTTATGTTATCTCTCGAAAGTGGGGCAAACGTCAACCAATTATTTATTTAAAGAGGCACTTTAAACTCCAT